ATCAACCCTTTATACCAAGGGAATAGGCTTGATCCTTGATGTGAAGACTCTTTCCCTCTGTGTTGGTATTTTGAACTACTACACACATAACCACCACCACCACCACATCCATAAGTATAGGTCAAGTTCATCAAATTGTAGCAATTTATACTTGCTTCCTTTATCAAATATCTTTATCTTCCTCTAGTCGAGCTCTGTTCATCAAGCCATTAAAGCTAGGTCAAATGGGTACTATCTACAAGTTTGGGTGTTCTTGTGCATCTCCCCCCACTTCATATCAGTTAGATGCTTCACTCTCAGCTCTAGCCCTCCATGGCTAGGTCAATGTCCATCCATAGGATCAGGAGTTCCCAAGTCTCCCCAAACTTCAGACCACCCAGCCTTTCCTCTTCTCTTTCTCTCTTGGAACATGTGGTCAAATTCAGCCCGTATCTTTATTACTGACTTTCCCCCACTTCCACTCACATGTAGACCAACATAGTCACCAGCTAGCTTACATGCCTGCACATGTGTTCCCTTTAAGTTTCAGTCTTGGAGGGGAGTTTGTCCTGAAGGGATTTGATTGCTTGCCTTGACTCTCTGGCGAACAGCTTGTTTGTTCCTTTAATAGCCAGACTGCTGTTTTTGTTTTTTCTACTGGTCTTTCTTTCAGGACGTACTGTCTGTTGTTCTAGCTGTTTTTTTGCTGGTCTGCATGTCTACCTCAGAAGGTTCTGGATGGAACATAGGCTTCTACCTAATGTCCTAGACACTACAAAGGCTTCACAAGAGGCCTATCTCACTGGGAAAGTTGCAGAACCCCTTTTAGGCATTTCAATCAGTTATAAGCTAAAGACGAGCTTACAGGCTTTCTGTAATCATGGTTCCCAGTCCATTGCACTTTTAATATTCTTCTCCAACACCATCAATCAAATGCATGGATTCTTCTATGATCTTCCTTATTCACTGTCCAATTTTCATATGCATATGACACAACTGAAAATACCGTGGCTTGGGTCAGGTACACATTAAATCCTCAAACTGGTATCTTTGCTCTTTAACACTTTAAAGAAGACTGTACTTATCAGTTTTGACTCATAGCGATCCTGTATAGAGTTTCCGAGAGTCAACTTGTAGGTTTTGGACCACCAACTTTGTGGTAAGCAGCCCAGTACTTATCCTACAGTACCACACCAGTACTCCTAAAGAAGACTGTTGTTGCTATGTGCCGTGGAGTCGGTTCTGACTCATAGCGACCCTGTACAGGGTTTCCGAGGCTGTAAATCTTTACGGGAGCAGAAAGCCTCATCTTTCTCCCGCGGAACAGCTGGTAGTTTCGAACTGCCGACCTTGAAGTTAGCAGCCCAATTCGTAACCACTACGCTACCTGCCCTTTAAAAAGGTTCCATCTGGTTCTGCTAGCCTATGTTCTAGTAAATGCCCAGGTGGCTTTTGTGAGTACTTAAACTAGACTGATGAAACCATATTGAGTTATCAGCATCATCTTTTCATTTTTTAGAGTTTTGAGTGTGTGCTTTAGTGTCAAACCTAGAACTGTGATTCTCTGCACACACTGGTTGGGCATTAATTTCACAGTTTCACTTTCCTATCTATTATTAGGGATACAATTAGTACCTGGGTAATTGTCAGTATCAAACAAGGTAATTCATATACATAGCCTTAGCACATTATCTGGCAAGTACTAAGGACTCAGTAATAAGGACTCAGTAAATAGAAGTCATTATTGTCATCATCTTTCATTAATGGAACTGTTGTGCAAAGCCAGTTAGTTTCATTTTACATCCTTACTACAGCAACTTAGTATTTCATAGTTTCATAGGCTGTTAGCTCCTACAGGAACTATCTTCTCGCTTTCTCTCTCTCGCTCTCTCACTTGGAAGTTTTGGAGTCACCTTTTTCTTGACCATTTACTAAGATTCTATTACTAATGGTCTTCTGACTAGTTGCTGGGCCTGAGGGTACATGGATGAAGAAAGTTACTAGTTCCTGCCTTCAAGGACTTATGTTGGAGAGACAAAAAAGTCATCAGTAATGATACATTAATATTACAACAGTTTCAAGGTTCAGTTATAGCACAAAGAAAGGACTAATTTAGCATCCCATGATGGAAGGAAAATTAGGGAAGACCTTTTTAGTAAGGAGGTGACACTTCAGCTGAGATTGAAAGAATGAAATGTTCAGTATTCACCAAACAAACATTTACTTGGCAATTCTTAAACCACTGTAATCCACGGCCATCGTCGATTCCAATTCATAGCGACCCTGTTGGACAGGGTAGAATGGCTCATTAGGGTTTCTGAGACTGTAAATCTCAATGGGAGTAGACAGCCTCCTCTTTCTCTTGAGTCGCTGGGGGTCTTGAACTACCAACTTCGTGGTTAGCAGCCCAACACCTAACTTACTATGCCACCAGGGCTCCAGATATTTATTAACTATGATATTTATCATGGTCATAACTACATAAAATTGCTCCACCCCTGCCCTCGTGGAAGCAGCATCCCCAGGAAGCTGATATTTGCTACATAAGATCTTACCACCAGAGTGGCCCAGTTGGGCTCTGGCCTAAGGGGAGTCAATTCAAAAACTGGACATCAGTGTAAGATGTGGATAGCAAAGTCATTTTCCCAATTTCATTCAAGTAAGTGGCAGAACCAGATTAGAACCAAATGCCATGTTACTCACTAGCATATACTGTCTTCCTTCACAGGAGGCCCATGGAAGTGAGACCCTCAGAGGTCTCACCCCTGGGACAGAAGTCTAGGGACATCCTGCTTATGTCCTTTCTGCAGTCATCTGATTTTAGGTGACAGGATTTTTTAGATCACTGTTGGCTCCAAAAGTTAGGCCCCCCTGTACAATTAGGAGAGATGTTTGGTGAAACTGAGACTGTTTCTCAGCTGATGCAATCAATTTCTCTCTGTGTGTGTGTGTGTGAGAGAGAGAGCGATGTTGTAATAGGTGCTGGTGTAATCACTGTTCCCAAGTGAGTTG